ACATGACATACGCTGTGCACTACTGCGTTCCAAAATTTGAACTGAAAATTAGGTGCTCTGGAACATGTGAGCGCTGCAACGACATGGGCATGCCTGCCGTGTGTACATATAAAACCAATGACTTAAAGGGCACAAGAAACACAGCATGTGTACAGCCCCTTAGAGAAAACTAGACTTCTGCATCTCCTCTTGGCTCTGTTTTTCTGGCATCAGAAAATCTAGCCTGTGACAGGAGACTTTGGCCAATCACAACTCATTTCTTATCGGCTGTTCTACAAATGCAGATGCGCGTGCATGTCGCTTAAGATGGTGAAAGCTTAATTCAATGGCAGAAAGTCCTACAAAAAAATTGCACTGGCAATGACTGCCTACACTGCAAAGCAACCTAAAAAAAAGGAAGACGGACTCATCAGAAAGAGAGTCTGAAGTGTAAATATTGTTAAAGCATTGTAGAGATGGAGAGAAAATGTAGCTAATAGTTAGCCTTCTACTAATCGTACACAAAAGGCTCATAGCTGCGGCTTCAAGTTCAGGTTTATGTACCTAAGGATGGCAAGAGCCTTGAATCACAGTGTCATTTGAAAGGGCTTTACAGGCTCACAGGTTTGCAAAGAAAAAAGGAAAGTATCTCAAAGAATTGCGGCTATGTAACAGCATTGAGATTGGAATCACAATCACAATTGGCATGATTTAAATGAATGACTAGTGCTCATACAGGTTGCTGTGTGAACCTTGTACATGCCAGTGCAGAGCTGCTAAAGGAGGGTGTGATTTCAGATTCTCTCGTTTTTATGCCTGCTCCAGGAAACTGCCTACCTCAGCTTTAAGAACAGAATATAAAGTTTGGGAGCAGGAATTTGACTTTCATTTCTGTGCTTTAAAGAAATAGTTTTAACATTAGGGGAAATGCACGATCAAGACCAATCTCATGTCTGTATGCTGAATTTGAAGATAGAGCTAGAAGCCAGTTAGCTTAGCTTAGAATAAGACATGTTAAAACAGTTAGGAAGCCAGGAAGTCACTGCACCTGCCCCCCCCAAAAAGTCTTCCATTGCATGACCTGTTAACACTGTAAAACTTCAACTTTAAAATCTTTTGAAGCTGCCAGGCTAGATCTTTCCACCTGTTTTAAGTCTTTGTAACTCTCAGCAACAAAAGCAAATGTGTGTTATGTGTGCTAATAATTTAACATACTTGACATTGACATTGGTTTAGGCTATTAAACTCAGATTGACACAGGGCAAGTGCAAACTGTGTTAGCTACTTTCCCCTCCCGTATCTGCACTGTAGCTGAACTGACCAGTTTCTAAACACAAAGAGGCAGGAAATAACTATTTTTACCTTTCCCCTCAATTTAGATATTGTTTGTTATTTTACCAACTCTGCCCTCAGCGACTTCTTCACATTGTGCTGCAGGAGCACCACCGCACACTCCGGTCTGCTCTTCGACTTTCTGTATAATTGTTTTCTACTTGCCCTGTTTCGCCCGTCGACATCTGGTTTGCAGGTGTGAAAATAACCTATTCTGAGATAGCGTCACTTCCAGCTCGATGTGATTAGGATAGCATGTAAAATCATTTTCCAGGAGCAATAAAGAAAGTGATTTCATTTTCATTGCAGAATACAATGATTATTCCTCCGGCAAACTAATAGTGCTATCAGAGAGAAATCATTGCACTAGAAGTAACAGCGCCATCAGAAGCTGAGTGATAACGTGAGGATGGAATTGGGGCTTCAAATTGAATAATGTTGCAAGGAAGTGTCTTTGTAGTGTAGTTTGTTTGGTGCTCTGGCTTATAAAGATGCAAGGAAACTGTTGTAGTGAAACCTGGCTGTCATTTGAATGAAAAATATAAAAAAAAATAGGGTTCAAATTGAACAGCTGAACAACTACAGTACAGTAGATTTAGTCACTCCAACACATGGCCTATTACACATACTGAAACTTGGCTATAAAAAAAGATTGTGGCCCATTTTGGTCCCTGCTCACAGCTTGAGAAACACCCCTAGTAAGTTACTGTAGGCACATATCCATCCTGTTACTTGACCTTACAGTAGCAGCAGTAATTCATCTCAGCCACTGCAAGCTGTCTTGAGGTGTGTTTTGTTTCCTCATAAATGGCTGGTGCCAAATAGTGTCAGACAGAGAAGCAGGGAAGGCCTCTGGGAGTGTGTGTGTGTGTGTGTGTGTGTGTGTGTGTGTGTGCGTGTGTTTGTATGCTGGTGTGTTTCAAGCTGCGGCCTCTGGCTGTGACCCCAGTGTTAATCACACTACAGCCAGAACAACCACAGGCTCTATCGCCACTACTGCTGCTACAGCCCTCCTCCTCCTCTCCGGCTCTATTTCCTTCTCATTCATGCTCTCTGTCCTTGCTCTGTATTTATTTCTCTCTCTCTCTCTCTCTTCCCATCCTCCCCATTCCTACAGTGTCTTTCCCACTGTATCTCCCACTTATACATGATCTCTACCCACTCCTTCACCATTAGCTCAGGGGTACACCTTCATCTCTCTCATCCCCATAACCTCAAACCGTCACCTCTCCTGCAGCCTAAGCCTCCCCTGTAGGCTTCATGGGCTCAGTGTGTCTGAGTTCTGGATTAGAGGGGTCCTTGTTTCTCTGGCAAAGTGCAAAAGCGCTAAAGGCTGCTCTCACCTTGTGGTCTGTGTAGTCTCGGCAGAGAATGTATACAGTAATGGACCTAGCTGCCGTGGCGTTGACCATTTGTTTGTGGGCTGCCCATTTGAAGCCTCGAGTTAAGCATGTTGGCCCTCGCCATCTTTGTTTCTTGGAGCCAGAAGTGACCATACTTAGACGAGAGGGTGGAGCTGTGGAGGAGCGAGAGGTGGATCAGACTCAGACTGTGGTGACAGCCTTCACTCAAGCAGCCAAGCCCTTAATTATGCGTAACTTTAGGCCTTAATTAAATGTACAGACTTGAGATATATAAAAACTCACCCACCATACAGTTGTCATAAAATTAGCTTTACATACTGAAACTGTTTTTTGTACCAGGCTGTAAACATGCTCCTGCTTTAAAGCTGCGCCCTTTAACATGGCAGTCTATAGGGACTGACTCACTTCTGGAACCAGCCTCAAGTGGCCATTAGAGGAACTGCAATTTTTTGGCACTTCTGTATTGGTCATAGGTTGTTGCTAGGTCTCAATAAATATTTGGATGACGTCAACCAGGAAGAAGTTGATCTTCTGATTATGTCTGATCACAAAATGAAAATATATGAAGGAGTAGGAACTAAGAGGTGTGGCTAAGAAGGAGTAATGCCACATGGCGTCACACTACTCAGCCAATAACTTCGAGTAACTGAGTCGACAAAACTGTTTACGTCAACCTCCTGGCTGTAATTGCAAGTTGGAGTTATTAAGTATATCTGACAGAGAAGACTAAAGTTGGGCATTTTAACATGCGGGTCTATGGGGATGGACTCCATTTAAGAGCCAGCCTCAAGTGGCGATTCGAGTAACTCCAGTTCTTTTGGCACTTTTGCGTTAGCTTCATTTTCAGCCCCAGAGGTTGCCGCTTGAGTCCCAGTCATCAGTCACTGGGGGCCTAGTTGGGTAGGGTTGATAGAAGTACTGATTTGTGATTGGTCAGCCATGTTAATGATTGGTTAGGGTGACTGGCCAAACAGCATCTGTGTTTGGTCTTTCTTGTACCTTTTCCCCACCAAAAATTAGCATGTACGGTTAAGTAAACCCGCTAAAAATAGTTCATAGACTCCTTTCCCATTGCATTGTTATTTGTATTTGAGTATTTGTCAAAATTTGGAGACTTTGGAACAATGTCTGAGCGCTGCTTGAATGCAGACCGATGGAATTTGTGGCTGAGATGACAAAGAGTCGCAAACGTTAGACGTAGACCAAAGTTTGCACTGGAATGAGGTGAAATTTTATGTGTCTGCTTGGGTTTTGATTGTTACCATTCCCCCTAAAAACAAAACCCAGGGGGTCTTGTTGGGGTTTTTTTATTGTCCAGTGATAGAGGGGCTTTACGGGCCATACTGTCTGTGGTATGGTGAAGTTGAGTGTTGTGTATTGACAGAGCTTGCAGTTTAGCATGCTAAGCTACCACCAAAATGTTTGAAAGGATGGCTATACTTCATGCCACTACGTTCACATTATGGGTTTGAATGCAGTACTCTTAGTATTGGTATCACTTCAAAAGATACTGGTATTGTAATTTTTTAAGCGAAACCCAGTCCTAATTATGATACCACCTTCTTTCTAGAGATGTTGGAAAACCCACACTAAAGCACATATGACATCAAACAGAGCAAGGAGCATGATCCGCCCACAGCTTTACAAAAAAATGTCAGTTTACTAGAAATCATCTTGAACACTTGTTTTTTTAGTGTGACCGTAAGTCAACATCGAAAGTAGGTCCCTGGAAATTCCTGTTGCTGTTGTAGTGAACTGTGCAACACAGCAAATCAATTTCTGGGTCAACCTCCTGGCTGGCTTACCTGTCATATGTAGTTTGATTACGTTAATGTTGCCTTTGATTTGATGTGACTCGCCAACTCGCTGGCTGACTAACTACATGGCCGTTGGTGCAAGTGTTGTGCTCTCGGTGTAGTGATTATTACACTGTTGTGCCTTAGTCACCTTGTGACACCCGTGGAATCACAGCAGTTAGGTGTGCACGAACTTAGACACACACACACATACACACACACACACACACACACACACACACACACACACACACACACAATCTCAGGCTGTCGGCAAGCTGAGACGAAAGAGTGTGAGTTACACAAGCTTTGACAGGGCCTAATTATACGTGTCTCTAATGAACTGTAATTACTGACATCCACCAGAGCATCGAGGTCTATAAGCCGAGGACTTGCAGTCATTAGGCTGCTGTGTTACTCTGTTGCTGTATCTCTACTGACTAACTGAAAATCTCTGTTTTCTGTCCCTGTTGTGATGTGTTGCTCTCTGCCTAACTGTTTCCTCATCTCCCTCCCTCTCCCTCCACAGTTTGATGGTGACAACATGTACATGAATGAAAACAACCATGAGTTCCTCCCGCCCAACCAGGTGAGTTCAAATGGCCTCTAATGGAATACCTGCTCTTTTCCCCCTTTTCCTCTTATTTCATCTGTTGCCATGATTGTTGCCTGAGTTGTTGCAGAGCCATTTTCATTCCTCCATTGTTCAGGCTTGTTAGGACGGGCGACAAATTGTTGTTACTGAAACAACCACGGAGTTATATGACATCAGCTGAAAGCAAAAGGGACTGAAAGCTCTCAGAAATATTCCAATTAGTTCAGCTATGTTTTATGCTGACAGATGTAACAGAAAACATGTATTCAATGCATTCAGCACTCTTTGGGTGAAATATGCTCTCAGGATTGTTAATGCGAGCGTTAGTGGACACAGTGTGGGATAAATGGAAACACATTTCTTCTAGTCCCACAACATGGAATCTAAACACAGTGAAATGACTGCCAACAATACCTGTTTTTATTGTTTATTGTTCATTTGGCTCCCCATTAGTTGTTACCTTGGCAACCACCACTCTTCCTGGGGTCCATATTAAAATGTACAGTATAATCAACACATTTATTCACTTACACTACATACAGCAGGGCTCCTCAATTACAGATTCAATTGGGCCTATTCAAAAGCAAGTTATTATTTTTCATGACACATTTTAAACAAATGCAAATTAATGTAGTAAAAATAGCAATGTTTATTATTTTACCATAAAAAATAGTCACATATTTGACCCAGGCACATTACAAACTGCAAAAAAGAGCTGGCAGTGCTTTCAGTGAACAGAACCATAACAAGTGTAACCACAACAGTAACCAATAACACACACTCTTAATCTACCAGTATCTCTTTCCCACACACATACACACATAACCTCATGATGTTTTGTATAGAGGTTAAGAGAAAGTGTTAAGGAAAAGACATGGCACTTTTTGACTACTAAACCACAGCCCAGATGTTTGGAATAGCTACTCTGCATTTTCGACTGCGTTGTTTCACAGTTGTTTTGTGAAAGATGTGATTGTGTGTGTTGCTCTAGCGGTCTGTACATCCTTCCCGATATTGTGCTCAGAGATAACAAGGAAGCAAGATGGCTCACCCATTAGTAGAGTTGTACTGATACCGATACCAGTATCAGAAATGCCTTCAATACTGCCTAAAATGCGGTATCGGGTATCGGCGAGTACAGCCTATGACCAGTCCGATACCACGTAATGCTTCACATCATTACGCATATGCACGCTACAGGCAAACAAAACGGAAACGGAGCGGAGTTTAAAAAGCATTCTACTGTAGCCTTTAAAATGTCTTTTTTACCAAATTGTGTGGCTGCACTTTAACCTGTGTCTTGATCTGTGTCAGCACTGGATAATAATAATAAAAAAAAGTTTTATGGCATTCATTCTACTATTATATATTTATTTCTTAATATTTTACAGAGAGTTTTAGGAGTTGAGACATACAATAATTCATATCCCATCCATTTTTATTTTACACGCAGGTATGGTATCTGTACTCGGTATCGGCAGATACCTAAAATTCAGGGATCGGAATCGGTATCAGGAAGGAAAAAGTGGTTAACGGTACATCTCTACTCATTAGCTACTCCCAGGAACTATGTGTAGTTTACATATTTTTGTCATACGAATAAATCTGATTTATGTATGCCGGGCCACTCTGAGGTTGCTTCCAGGTCAGATTTGGCAATTGAATAGGCCTGATATACAGTAAAGTAGCCCCTTTTACACTGCCTGTTCAAGGCAGGAGTCTCACGCCGTTAATCAGCCTCACCGTTCTTTATAAACGGTACAATCACAAAATAGGGGAACAGGATTGTCTAGCCTTTAAGCCAGCAGCAGAGGTAGTAACAGCACCAAGTTGACATCTATGTAAAAAAGGAGAGCAGGAGGGACGGGACTATGGGAGGGATTTAAAAAGCAGCTAGCTAAGCTAACTGAAAGAAGAACAGCAAACAAAAATGTCCGGAAACTGGGGAGACAGTGAGGTCAGGGAACTCCTTACCCTCAAAGCAAAGAGCAAAATCAACCACCATATAAATGAACTGTTATTGCCATGCTAATGCCATTGTTATTGTTTTCAAAGTGCTGCAGACACGTTATATGTCACACTAGAGGCCGACGCTGTTGTGTTAGATGTCACGTCGATCATGCCTGTTTTGCCTCCAGGATGCTGGCATGCTTGCTTAAATCACACACTGGGGCGACATGATGCTGCTGTTGTTTGGGTCCATACAAAGATACAAAAGCAGCGCAATGAAGGGATTTTGTAGCGGCCTATACTGGATCTCTGTGTAAAAAGGACTTATGAAACAGTTACAGTGTCACCTCCACAGCCAACCCAAGAAAATAATATCAAAACCAAATATATGGCAAATAAACACAAAGAACAATTAATAGTTAAACATTACATTTATTCGCACATCTCCTCTGCAAACAAAGTTAGAGACAACGTACATTGCTTATTTATGTTTTAGTTTATTTATTATTTTATTAGATTCTTGAAATCTGAAATAAAATCTGCAATAAAATCTGCAATATAAATAAAGTTTATTATTATATCATTTTTATCATCAATACAGTTGATATGGTTGACTTAAAATATGTAGTAGTAGTTCTTCTATAAGAATAAAAGATTTGTCGCCATTCAAACACTGCAGCTGGAGTCTATCCCAGCATGCATTGGGCAAAAGTCACTGAAACACACTGGACAGGTTGCCAGTCGTTCACAGTCTACGTCAGACTGCCATAATGACATTTCTGTTCAGTACAGTAGGAGAAAACCGCCAGAGAACCCAAACCAGCAAAAATATCCAAATCCCAAAGAGAAAGTGCTGGTGCCTTCTGTCTGTGGGGCGACTGTGTCAACCATTAAGCTAACTCTGCCATCATAAAATTCAAATTCACTTTATTCCAATTATGCAATCATCCCCTGTGCACACAATTTTCACTTTGGTAAAAGCCAAGCAGAAAGCTCTGCTTCACTCTGAGTGAGTTTTGGCCTCATTGCAAAGGATTTATTAAGTTAGAATGGAGGGGGAGTCAGCGCTCTTCTACAGTACATGGCAACCATGCCAGATACACTGTAGCACAGCTGGTCGGGAACAACTGGGAGACCATATGGTTGTGTTTGGACAGGGGGATTTACGGAGTTTGGGAATAAGCCCATCTGACATACACGAGGGAGCAGGGAATTTGTCCCTGTCAATTGCAATTATTAGAACCGACCCATGGGCTACAGTAGTTCTGTGGTTCTGTTGCATTCGCTGTTTTGCTTAATTTCTTAATGCTCCGGTTTGTTAAAGCGTGGCTCGAGGCCCAGAATGAGAGAGCTGCTTATGCTGCTTCTTGTACATGATTCCCTAAGTTTATTTAGATAACTCCGACAACAAATATGTCTGTTACAAAGTGATTTTCAGCAGGATACGCTGCTATCTGACAAATTTCTCATGCTGGTACTTGGCTGTCTGAAAAAAAAATCTGAAGAACCACTGTTTTTATTGCCCATTTTGATTCAGCACATGTACTTTTACTGCAGCGCTGATTGACTGATTACAAGTCCTGCTGATGTGCACATTGTTTTTTGCTGAATTACTGAGGGACAGATAAAACATCGCAAATGTGGCATGGAAGATAGATACAGAGAGACAGGGAGAGAAAGGTGGGGATCAAGGAAGCAAGAGAGAAAGAGACAGAGAGGGAAATAGCATGAAACACAGTGATGGGATGAGAGACGATTTTGCTTTGCTCCGTGTTATACTTTGTTTACTCAAGATCCCCTCATATTTGACATGTGCCTTGCTCTATTCTCCGCTTCACCAAGTTTAGCCTCTCCTTCCCTCTGACAGCTTGAATCACAGAGGGCCTTAGGGGTGGACACACACTCCGACAACAAAACACGGAGATGGAAGAAAGAGAAAAATCACTGATCTGCACCTCCTTAGCTGTGTCCTAATTCTGCACTACAGACTAATCCTAAACTGTGAACTAAAATTTTAAGTATGTGGTGTGTTCACACAGGAGGAGTCACTGTCTGTTTAAAAATAAAATCAGTATGCAGACGAAAATAGACTAAAAGTGCTTAGTTTTTGAGGGTGCTGTTGATACACTGTTGTCCTACAGTACACAAATTGTGGGTGGTGGTGAATCAGCTCGAGGAAGATCTTGTTAAAACAAAAAATTATTACAAAAAAATAGTATTGAATCTTTGTTAATCATAATTGATGGTGGAATTCTAAGAAATTAAAGTGTGTAAAATCCATGCGGCATACTTATTCTATACAGTGTAATGTATACATGTACTAACCGTTCAATGTATCCTCATACAACGGTTCATATGATAGCTCATGAAAATGCACATACAATGATTTGTACGAGATCTAACAACTAGCGTAGTCATGGTACATACTTAACATGAAGTTACATACTTAAGGCAAAGATACATAGGTTAGGTTAAGGAAAAGAAACATGGTTGAGTGTTGTCATATTACCTGCCTTACATAAAGTTACGTACTTATTGCAAAGTTACATAGGTTAGGTTTAGGAGAAAAAACATGGCTAAGCCATCACAGTAGTACTTAACGTAAAGTTAAGTAGGTTAGGTTTAGGAGAGGAAACGTAGTTTAAAGTCCTCAAGTTACATAGTTAACGTAAAGTTACGTAGGTTAGGTTTAGGGAAAAAAACAAGGTTAAGAGTCATCACAGTAGTGCTTAACGAAAAGTTAAGTAGGTTAAGTTTAAAAAAAGAAACACGGTTGGGTGTTGTCACATTACACACTAAACATAAAGATATGTACGTCATGCAAAGTAACAGGTTAGGTTTAGGAAAGAAACTTGGTTAAGAGTCGTCACAGTAATACTTAGCGGCAAATTTTGTAGGTTAGGTTTAAGAGAAGAAACATGATTGGGTGTTGTCATGTTACCTACTTAACATAAAGTTACATACTTAACTCTAGGCCATGTAGGACAGGTTGAGGAAAGGAAACATAGTCTAGAGTCTTAACATTACGTACTTAATGTAAAGAT